TATGTGCCCATTTGCTTGGTTGTGCCGCGATGCGGTTCGTTGGCGGGCTAAATGCAATTTTGTTATACTTTTATTTTAATACATTTTCAGACATTAAGTCGCCGCCACAACCGTATGTAGCATTTGCTTGTGTGTGTGTGTGTTTTAGTAGAAAAATTTACGCATGCGCAGCGCATGTGCCTCCAATGCAATACCATCAGCGTCAAAACTGCAGCAACACGGTACGCACAATGGGGCGTCGGTGTGGCACAAGTTTTTTATTTAAATTTTTTTCATAGTCAAGTGTGACAATTGAAAATTTTACCGTTTCGGGTCAGCATGTGTTTTCCATTAAAGCATTGCAATGCGCCTATTTCTATTTGAAATTTTACGAATTTCGAAGAAGCATACAATTTTTAAAAATTTTAGTTTTCCAGTTTAGAGCACGATTTGTGAGAAAAAATATTTAGGAAATTTGACTCCTTATTAGCACATTAAGGCAATAAGGAATTCCGCAGCATATTAACGAGTCCAATATTCTCTCCTTGGTACCCTGTCGAGACGATATTTGGGGGAATTGAATGATATATACTTGCTTCAATTAGTCAGAAAAATATACATAAAACTTTTCCATCTAAGGAGGCTGGTCTCACCAGTGACAAACTTCAAATCAGTCAAAGAATAAGATGACGCTGGCTGCTAAGCCAGTGGACATCTCATTTTTGAGGAACTAGGTACTAGTCCACTTGTTCAAAATACTTGTAGAAGAATTGGTTGCGCGTGTTGGCCAGGGCGGGACAATGCCAGAGTTAATGTTCGATGCTCTCCACCTCTTCCTCGTCCCTACAACTGCGACAAAAATCGTTGGTGCAGTATTCTAACCCAATAGGAAAAGTAATTCTTATGAGTTCTAGATTCGATTACTGTTTAATATGTAATCAGCATACTAATGTATCCAACAAGTGCCGAAAAATCAAATTAAATCCCATACATTTCTCGATTATCAAGTAATGCAAAACTGAATGCCCCACTTTTCATACGACATCGTCATGGGGGGAAAAAATGCTTTTCGATTGTGAAAACGGCTTACTGATTATTTTTTTGATTGCCACACATTACATTCTACTGGGAACCTGGGAAAAATTTGAGTGCATCCTTGTACGGTTGCCAAAGGCCTGTTCGCTTGGTTTGATTGAAAAGCCTCCTGCTGTTTTTCCTCAATGCTGAAATATCGGGTGGAAACCACGAGGGTATATTTTATTCCTTCGGGAGTGTGCTTTGGCAGGAGGCCCTTAAAACAGAATTACCTCTATTTGTCACAAAGTTCACTGCTTCTTCAATTCTGACGATGAGTTCAGCTTTCCGAATGAAACAGCATTCGTGTTTGAGAGACTCGCTTCATGAGGTCTTAACGATAAGCAGGACTTATTGTGAGAAGCGTAACTATGTAGAGGGGCCGACAGCGAATTTTTATACGTGGGGGCCAGGGTGGCCTAAGTGAGTTCCTTAGCTTCAGGACTAGCAGCAATCTAACAAGACCGTGTCAATACTGTACGGGCATTCCAAGAAAACTGAAGAGCTGCATTGGAAGGACAGGCATAAACACACATGCTGTTGTTGTTGTAGAAGTGATCGGCAGGTAAAGTAACGCGAGGCACAGCCTCTTATGTACTTAAGGTAATGGGATCATCGATGACTCCAATTCATGCGATACAAATTAACTACTGAAAGATTATTCCGACTATAGTCTTCACAACAAAATATATAGTTTCCCTGATTTAAAAAGTTGTATAAATAATTTTATTCACATACATATCCTTTATCTTTCCAGTGACATCATGTCTGTCCTGCCTGTACAACAACTGGATGCCAATGGCTTTCCACGCATGTTTAACGCCCCCAGTTACTATCCAGAATCGATTTTTAACACTCAATAACATAAGGTCTTGCAGTTTTAAGGATGGTTGGTTTTTATTAGGAAACACGCGCTATGCTTAAATTATAAATATTTTTAAAATTCTGTTTAAATTAAAGAAAAACATAAGCCCATTGAAAATGGCAAACTAGCATAAATGTTTTTAACATAAATTTATGTAAGGCTCCACTATATAATAAATAAAATATTTGTGTTATATGTTAATGTATAATAATTTTATTAAATTGCAATACATTTTAAATTTTTAAATAAAATGTAGGAAATACAAAAAGAAAACATTAACGAATAGCGGGAAAATTTCAATTGAAACATAAGCATTTTTTTAATAAATGTTAAATAAATAAATTAATTAAAAAAAGCTAAACAATTAATTTTGTGTTTCAAATAGTTCTATTTTGTGTTACTTAGTTTTGATAACAACGGAAGAACATTTAGCATCTTCTCAGCATCTCATGCAAAAAATTTAAGCTTTTTTATTAATCCCAGGTAACCTATCACAGATCTAGAAGGGTTTAATCATACTTAGGTTGATTCAAACTATTGATGGAGAGGCCAATCGCCGGGTACTTAGGCAACAGGTGGCCTTCAGTTTAACATAGAGGGTCAGAGTGTATTGAAGTTGGCGGCAGAAATCCTAGGTTTGTTTGTGTGAAATGCAAAAACGACAGTCTGCAGCCAACTTCACTTCCTAACTCCCGGTCAAATTCAGATTTTCCAACCGCTCAGCGTTAAAATGAAAATGTCACTTTACTCTCAATTTCCCCTAGTTTGCAAGTTTTTTGCGTACGCGAACGCAAAATGCCAATAATAATAATAATAATAATAGGTAGATTGCTACTTACACTTACTTTTGTTAGTGTTTGGCCGAGCTTCTCCCCCGATTTGTGGCGTGCGCCTTGATGTTGATGGGGCCGACTCCGAACGGCATTCCCACGACAGCCGGTTCTACGTATCGGAATGACTAGGGTTTTACCCGACCAAGGCAGTTGTTTCGGCGATCTAACCCCGTTTAGGTCAGCGAAATCCCTCAAAAGTTGTATGTCCATAGGGCTACTTCTTCTTCGCATACTTCTGCTCAGGGCTGGCATTGAGTCAAACCCAGAAACATATACCTGCTGCGTGTGCCATAGACGATTGTACCACAACTCCACCTCCGTCAGATGCAACACATGCAATGGTTGGAGCCATCTCCGAGTTTGCTCAGGCCTCACGACTCACAGGCAATGGACCACTGCGTACGTGGCCCCTTGCTGCGCCAATCAAGCTGCCTCCACGGCACAACAGAATTCGCCTGAGCAACTCAACACAAACACAACCGCATCACAATACAATGCAATAGACAATACCATAGACAGAACAGACCACACCACAGATACAACGCACCACCACCCACACGCCACCGCCAACAACACCTAGTTCTTCCGACAATCTGCACAGTATGCCAGTCCAGGATATTCCGTAATGTGACATCAGTCAAATTCAAGTCGATGATTCACCAATTTCGACGGTGAACAACCCGAACATACTCGGAGTAATATTCGACAGTCTGTTCTCCTTCTCGGTACATACAACCGCAATTGTCAACAAAGTATAAAGGCGCAACAAGCTCTTCAAGTTGCTAACCGGCAGCGCCTGGGGCAAAGACAAAGAAACGTTGCTGTCAACGTAGAAGGCAATTGGCCGGCCGGTTCTGGACTACGCTGCGCCAGTGTGGTCACCGGAGACTAGTAGGACGCAGTGGATGAAGCTGCAGACTTGCCAGAGCACGGCACTTAGGACAGCCACAGGATGCCTCTTGGTTTCGCCGCAACACCACCAGCGCGAGGACGCCCACATGCTCCAAGTTAAGGAGCATAACATAATGCTCTGCAGGCAGTTCCTGGTTGGGAGCCACAGATGTGGCCATCCAAACCGGCAACTTCTTGCAGAAGATTCTTCGCCCAGGCACTTCAGAAGGCATCTCTTCGAACTGACGGACGAAGTCCAGAGGTTCATCAAACAACCTCTGGACCCGAGAGCCTATCGACAGGCCTTGAACGTCATTCACAGAGAGGCAGTCTCGAGTTATGTAGACTCCCGCCCTGTGAATGCCGTTCTGGGCGCACAACCACCAGACGTGGACGAGACAGAACTTCGTCTGCCTCGGGAGATTCGGACCACAATAGCCCAACTGCGCTCTGGTTACTGCAGCAGATTGAACTCATACCTGAGCAGATTAAGCGAAGATATTCCAAACGAATGCCCGGCATTTGGAGAGTCGCCCCATGGCTGACAGCATCTCTTCGCATGCCCTCTAAACCCCACCACGCTAACGCCCCTGTCCCTATGGACAGACCCCGTCGGGCCTGCGCGCACAACAACAACAACAACCAGGTATGAATCCAGGCCTTGCGGAGTGACAGCGCGCACTGCCGCCCCTAATTTTTGATAACTTTCAATGATTAACAGGTACGCGAATGCAATTAATATCTTGGGCTTTAAAATATGAAACATAATAAAAATTAGGTACATGATAAATGAATTATCTTTATTTTGACACAAAACTTTTTTTATCAATTATGTAGTTCATAAGATATAATATTAAAAAAAAAAATAAAAAATAATACTAGAACCTGAAAGTGGTTTTATTTGAAAATTGGAGCCCAGATTTCCAATGGCACAGTTAAAATTTGTCGCCCTAGTTATCGCAATCTCCTCTAAAATTCATACAAATAAGAAGTTAATGTAGTTTGCATATATTTCTAAATAGTTCCATTACAGTTTATTTAATTGAGTTGAATTTATTTGTTAATTTACATACGTATGTATTTGCCCAAAGTAGTGAATTCACTTATTCACGTCAAAGGTATAACATTGCGCTCAAGTGCAACGCTGTGTGCATTGTAAAACTGCTTACCGGCGAAATGTCATCACGTGACGTTTCCCTAATTTGTCAATAGCGAATAGAGAAAAAAGAGAAATCAGAAAACATTAAAAAGCATTTAGCCACCGCATTCATGAAAATAAAACTTGTTATTCGTAAGTAAATTATTTACCTCATATTATGGCTAACAAAAAAGGAAATAATACAAATAGTCGCGCGCAACAACGATTAGATGTAAGTGCATTCGTATATTTTAACTAGAATGATTTGCTTTAATTGGGCTACTAAATCCCTTACAGGACTCAAATGATTACAGCGCCTTCAAAGTGGTATTCTTCTATTGTTCGCTTATTGTGTTCCTGCCTGTCGCAACATTCTTTCTACTTAAGTCCGCAGTGCTGGACCGATTATTTACAATGTCTGAAATTACGACCAACATATACTCAGCCGTTGGCGCTATTGTGGCGCTGCACCTAGCGCTGGGTCTCTACATATACCGTGCATATTTCGGTAGTGGACAACCGAAGTCAGAGTCATACAAAAAAATTGATTGAGTGACACATAAATAAGAACAATAATTAAAAGTGATTGATCGCGAAAGAATGGTGTTAAGCAGTATTACCTGCACAGAGGAACATGTGACGTGTTTTAGGTAGTTACTCTAAGTACATCTATTTAAAACGTAAATGCACAGATAGACATTTTTATTACAATGAATATAATAATATTTACGTCAACTTTTTTATTTTAAATTGCATTTTCTAAAGCATTTTATGGTACAAAAAGAATGCACAACGGTTTGTAAATAATAATAAAATAAGGCATAAATAAGGAAAGGTATTTTATATTAGACCTTAAAACTTGCTTCCAAACAAAGCAAAACCAATTGATAGAAATTAAAACCTGCTGATTATAGCGTAGTTCCTACATTCTGCCCTAAATGAATACATCCATGTGTTTACATACAATTTAGCTTGACAACACCGTCAAATATGCAATCTGACATTTTGTTTAGGAGGAACTTTTATTGTCGTGTAAGTGTTTCCATCCGCACACGGCCTGCGATTCATATTAGCATAGCAAAATTCATTTATTTATTCAAGTAGGCAGTTAATTAAGAATGCAATGAAGTTCTTCCCTTGGCGTGGTAAAAACTTGCGAGTGTATAACCGATGGCTGCGGCAGTTGGGCAATACGATTGGTGTGAGAGAACGGCCCAAAATCTATAATCACGGGGCGTGTTTCGAGTTAGATGAGTTGGTAAGTCAACCAGTTGCCAATATCCGATATTTTATTAATAGACTCAAAAATAATTAATTCTAAATAGCGATAATTCTAATATTTTGTAGGAAAATAAAAATAAACGTAAATATTCCAAACAGCTGATAACCAGGTGGTAGTAGTGTTGAATAATGTTTTGCTATAATAAAGAAGAATTTATTTCAACTATTTTCATTGGAAAATCGTTAGTTTGAGAAGATTTTGCTTCACTAAATCTTATAGTTTGCTTTGTATGTGTAATTTAGGTACGAAATAAATAATAATAGCCCTTAAGGAATAATTTTTACTTGAAGAGTAGTGTATATTTAGCCATTACCAACACTTATTGTTGCTAGTGCTAGTGGAATAAAAAGATGGGGCATATTCTTAGTCGAAATAAAGTCGACTCTAATGCCGATATTCCATTGAAAATTACGTCAAAAAGCTGCCTTGACTATGAATTTGCCTTATAGTTTTTATCATCGTTAACTTGCAATTATTAATAAACAATTGCCGCACAGATCTTGCTACTGCATAATTATTGAATCATGTTGCTACTGTTTGCTTTATTAATTATTGGCATCAAAAGCCGCATATCCTGTTTAACAATTTTCAACATGTACCTCACGATAAATGACATCGATAGTGCCAAACATTGTTGACTATCGCGCACTGCTGACTACGCCCATTCCTAAGAAAATATTTTTCTGATTGTGTTAAACACTTTAGTAATAAATTTTTTCGGCTACAAGTAATCACAGTTATACTGCGCAAGTAATTTTGCAGTGCAACAAGACGGTCATTATGTAAA